CGTCGTCGACGCTAAAGACACGCGCGTTTTCTTGGTGGTGCATCATTTCTATATTTACCAGCCAACCAGTTGCCGTTGTTTGTTGTTTATTGTGGTTGTGGAAACATTTTTAGTGTTGTTGTAGTTGATTCTTCTTGCTGGCTGCTATAGTGTACCTCTGCAATAGCAGGAGTAGCAGCAGGAAATTACCAAACTCAAATAAAAAGCTGTTTGTTTAATCGTGGTGTGCACAGTTAAGTCTGCTTCTTCTTCTTCATCAACATAGCCGATTGCAGCAATCCTTAATGAAAATATATTAAAATGTAAGATTATGAGAAAATTTGATTTTTTCAAATTTATTCCGAGACAATTTTTGATCTATAACCATATTTTTGAATAATAAGTATGAGACTTCAGTTTTTGGGTTAAAACAAATATTTATTGAATACGAAATGAAGAAAAAAATGCTTGAGGAATTACAAAAAATAATTAATTTTCAAAGTGTGATTTTTTTTTTATATTTAGAATCTATTTTTAATATTTTTTAAATTTACTTTTTTAATACAAAAAGCGCTTTTGGTCTTAGAAAAAAAATATTAAAATATAAACCATTTGCAATTTATTTATTTAAATTCTTAATTTATTTTTTTAATTAATATTTTAATTTTTCTGTTCTTTTGTTTTTATTTTAATTTATAATTATTTTCTTTTTAATTTTACTGTTTATTTCATAATTGATTTTAATTCTTAAGTAATATTTTTATTTTTCTTGTTTTCTTTTTTTCTTTATTTTTTTTTTAATAATATTTTAATATTTCTGTTTTCTTATTATACTTATTATACTTATTTATTTAATAATATTTTGTTTTCTTGGTTATAATATTTTTTTCTTATATTCATAATAAAAACCTCACTTCAGTTTTTGGATGAAGAAAATATTTATTTAAATACGAAAAAAAATGTTTGCGAAATATTAAAACTAAAAATAAATGACTTTGAAACTTTTGATCATTTTTAAATTTATTTTGATATATTTTAGTTTATTTTTTCATACGAAAAATTTTTCGTGGTATTAAAAGCTTTTAAAAAATAAATTAACTTGTAGCTTATTTGATTTTTTATTTAAATTTATTTATATTTTTAATTAACATTTTGATTTTTCTGATTTTTTTATATTTCTTTATTTAATTTCTTTATTTACTTTATTTATTTCTCGTTCTTGATTTATTTTTTTTTCTTTACCTTCTGGTTTCTTTTCATAAATTGTTTTTATTTTTCAAATTAATATGTGCTCTTTATTTTTTTAATTTCTCTGTTTTTTTCTATACTTTGACTTTTTAATTATTTGTTTTATTTATATTTTCTTTTTTTTTAACTTTTTAATATTTTTTTTGAGCTTAATATTTTCTTTTAATTATAATAAGAATTATAATGAAGTTTTCGGATTAAACAATTATTTATTTAATTACCAAATTTAAAAAAGGGCAAGGGAAATTAATTAATAATTTTGTAATTCTTTATTTTTGTATATAAATTTTATTTATTTTAAATATCCTTTGGAATTTTTTTTTTCATACAAAAAATGCTTGTGGTAAATTATTTGATTTTACTTTTAACTTTTTAAATTCTTAAGTTTTTTTTATTAATAGTTTGTTGTTTTGTGTTTCTGTTTTTAATTTGTTTTTATTTATTTTTAATTAATATTGCATTTTTTTTTGTATATATTTTTATTTTTTTAATGTATATATGTACATATGTTTTTTAATGAAATTTTAATTTATATGTTTCTGCCTTTTTTATATTTTTTTAATTAATATTTTTATTAATTTTTTTTAAATTTAGTTTTTTATAATGTCTTAATTTTTTACATTTTTCCATCTTTTAAATTTAAATATTTGAAGTTTCTAATTTCTTATTATTTCTATATGTTTTCGTTACACTTTGAGTTAGTAACAGTGTTTGCGTTTAAAGCAAAATATTTAGAGAATATTTTAGTTAAAGTTATAAACACCGTCAAATAAGTAGATGTTAATTTAGATCATATTTCCTCGCTTAAACTCAAAAAATTCCTGAATTTAAATATGTTATATAAATAATTTTCTTAGCTAAGTTAATACAAATGTTATAGTGATTTTTTTTCAAATTTGTGTATATACATACATACAAGTAATTTTTATTTTTATAAAAATTTAAAGAAAATTTTAAATTAATTTATACAAAAAAATATATTTTGAATTTCTATAAATGCTCGAATCAGAGATTTTTTATATAGATGCTTTAAACATTTTAAAATTGGCTGCAATTAAATTTCTTGGTTTTATTGTTGTAAACATGCGTTACTGAATGGACGAAAACCTCATAAAAAACGTGCATATTCATTAAAATGTCAAAGACTAAACTAATTTTTCTAACATAAAAAATGTGAGATCTTATAAAACTGTCAGATGGAGAAATATGTCAGTGAATGTTCATAATTAATTGCTCTATTTTATTGAAGTCTTATTTTCATATCACGTTCATATGTGTTTCATTTTGTTCTTTTTTTTAGCACCCTTTATTATAAGTTCTGCATTTTCATTTTTAAACAAATAAATATTTTTTTTAATTTTTATGTTTTATAAGTATTGCTATTATTATTTTTTTTTTTTGAAATCTGTATTTGTTTTATTTATTTTTTTTATTTCTTTTCATTTTAGAAAAAACTTTCTATATTTATATATATATTTTTTTTTCATTTTTTTTAATTGTATTATTAAATTTAAATGATGTTATTGCAACTTCCATTCTTCGCTTCAACCAAAGGAAAGATGGTTTAATCCTTTTTCATTTACTGTCCTTTTTTTATTTTTTGTTTAAAAGTTTTTTGTTCCATATTTCTATATTTTTTAATTTTATGTATTCTTGTAAATCTACTTAAATTTTGTTTATCCCTATATCATTATTTTTTCTCTTTATTTTTTGTTTTTTTCTTTTCTTTGCATTTATTTATAATATTATATTTTTTCTCTTTATTTTTATATATTTTTCTTTTCTTTGCTTTTATTTATATTATTATTTTTAAATGATATTATTGTGTCTTCTGTTTTAATTTTAAATTTTTTCTCATTTGATTTATCAATCTTTTTTACTTACTGTTTTTTTTATTTTATTATTTTTTTATTAATTTTTATTTATTTTTAGATAGTTTTATTGTTATTACTTTTTATCTACTTCTTTATATGTTTTTGTTAATCAATTCTTGTTTTTTTATTTTTATTTATATATTTTTCGCTTATTTCTCTTTATTTTAATTTTTTCTCTTTATGCTATTTATTCATATTCTTATTTTTTTCTTCTCTTTGTTTTTACTTATATTATTATTTTTGCTATTGTGCCTTCTGTTTTGTGCTTTTTTAATAAAGATATTTTTATTCGATTTTGTAATCCGTTTTATTTAGTGAGATTAGTTTTTTTACTTTTTATTTTTATAATTTCTGCTTTTCTTATTTGGTTTTTCTTTATTTTTATTTTTATTTTTTTGCTTTCTTATTTTTTTCTTTATTTTTTTTTTAATTTTGCTACATATACATAATTTTTTATTTCTTTTTTGTGTTTTTGTAATTTTTTTAAATTTATTTTTATTAATTGTGTTTTTTATTTATTAATTTTTCGTATATTTCTGTAAATTTTTTTTAACTTTATTTTTGTTTTTTATATTTGCAGTGTTTTGTGTTTTTGTATTTTTTTTTTTAATTTATTTTTAATAATTGTGTATTTTATTTATTAATTTTTCGTATATTTCTGTAATTTTTTTTAACTTTATTTTTGTTTTTTATATTTGCAGTGTTTTGTGTTTTTGTATTTTTTTTTTAATTTATTTTTAATAATTGTGTATTTTATTTATTAATTTTTCGTTAATTTTTGTAAATTTTTTTTAACTTTATTTTTGTTTTTTATATATGCAGTTATATTTTAAGTTTATTATTACCTCAATTTAATTGATATTATTTTGATTTTTATTTTGTTCTTTTTGTGATAGGTTATTTTATTTGATTTTCTAACGTTGTTTTTCTGCACTTCTATTTTTATTTTTGTCATTTAAAATACTGTCAATAAATAGTTTTCGAAAAAACACGATTTTCCATTTTATTTCAACTACAACACTTTCTAATTAAAAACAGCGCATTTGCGACAACCTTCCAAAATAAATCAACTACGAAAATAACGCAGAGAAAAAATCTTATTACTTATGTGTTTATGTCCTTTCACTGGCATTGGCGTCACCACTGATTGCCGGTTATAGGCTTTTCTCAGCGAGTGGAATGTCGCAAATTTACAGCTGGCTAAATGTCGACGGCCCCGCCCACAATTGAGACGCGTACGATGAGCTGATATACACATCTATATATTGTTTATATAAACATATATGTATGTGTATATTTGCTTATTCCAACAACACAAAGCGACAATTGTTGATTTTTGACGTTTTTATTAATTTATTTACATTTGCCTTTCCTTTCGACAAAATACTTTGTACTGCTGAATGTATGTACATATGTTTTGGTGGATTTACAGTTAGCGTAGGCTAGAAATAGCCAAGCATAGCTACATAATATATAGAAATTTATAATAAATATTTATATCCTATACTGTGAGCGATTTCAATTTTTTTTTTGTTTTGATTTTTGTTTTTATTTGTATTTTTATTTTTATTTATTTTTTCCCGTGTGTATTTTGCCTTTGAAATTTTGCCAAAAAATGTTTGCTTTTAATATATTTATTTATATGTTTCGATATGTCTCTGTAGTGGTTATTTGTATTTTTAAGTCATTTTTAATTTTATTTATTTTAATTGTTTTTTTTTTTGTTTCTTTTCATTAATTTTTTTTCAATGCTGCTTGTGTCACGTCGTACATGTACACAAAAACAAAAATAAATCATATTTAAATACACAATTTCCCGTCACTTGCCTATATAATTATCACCAACAACAACAAAAAATCCTTAAACTACATCCTGAATCCAAAAACAAACCAATACAGCTCACAAAGGAAATGTCAGAAAAATGTTAACGGCAATATAATTAAATAAATTGGCTTAAAACGGTGCTTGCAACACTCAATATAAAACTCCTAGTAAATATTTAGTCCTTGCAACATTTGTCATAAGCCTTGCAGCAACAAGTGTTCGAGTACAAAGCGTCAAGGTACATAATCATCAGCGTTCTTCTGCCCGCCCAAAAATGGCACTACACGTTCCACACAATTCGTGCACCAACAACAACAGCTGCACCGCTGCAGTGACCAACAATAAGCCATTGACACCAACAAAAACCACCGTCAGGCTTTTTGGTAGCAATAGTAATAGTGATTGTGCCAATCACTCACCGAACGGTAGCATCGGTAATGTTAATTGCAGCAATAACAATAAAAATTACAACAATTTAAGCAACAATGTTGAGCAGCTTGTCAATACAGCGTTGAAGGCTTTACATTTGCCGCAATGTGTTGGTGGTGGCGGTGTTGTTGCCGGCGGTGGTAGTAGCAAGAAAACAACCACAAATAAATTGAAATTGAATGGTGACAATAAACTAGCATTGGTGATCAAAAAGCGTACGAAAAATTTTGACAATAATGATGAGCTAGCAGTGTTGGATGGCGTTGATGTTGATGGTGATTTGGAAGACAACAATGAGCTGACAGCGACGAATGACGATGGTGAAGTGCAAATGCGTTGCGCTTGTCCGGCAAATAATAAAAATAAAAATAATAAAAAATCGAATGCCACGAATAATATCAATAGTAATAATAATAGCAATAACAGAAGTATGACAGTTACAACCACATTTCGTAGCAGCAGCACATCAGCGCTCATGACAGCTGGTCATATGCGGCCGCAAACATTGAATGTACATCACTTGCGTGAAACGCCAACGGATCAAACGCAGATTTTCATACGGTATGTTGAAACATGTATTACTTTTTTATTTTATATAATTTTTTTAATTTATAGAATTTTTTATTTTATATATTTTTTTTTATATATTCTTTTTTTATTTATATTTTTTAAATTTATTAAGTTTTTTATTTTATATTCATGAAATATACACAGAATAATAATAACTTTTTTGATAAAATGTTCGAAATACGGTGTTTTTTCTCTTGCGAAGTTAAATTCTTTTTATTTCAAATAAATTTTTGGAATTGAAAATTTGAATTTCCGTGGGCATTTTGCTGTTGCATTGAAAATACACTTTTATGTTACTGTAATAGGGCATCAGAATTTCTACACTATCAAACTCAAGCGTGTCAAGTTAAGTTTCTGAAAAAACGTTGCCTACATTTAGGCGGTTGACTATATAACATCATTTTAGGACACATTTATACAAATAGGCTTTAATCTCTTATGCTCTGTTTAAATTTTAAGTAGGTCAAGTTCTAAAAAATTTGATTTAAACAAGTAAGGAAGATGAAGTTCGGCTGAAACCGGAAACCTATATCAGCCATTCTTGGTTTTTCCACAAACAGACAGGCATAATTAAATTGATTCATCTCAGTACACCTATTACCAGAAAATACCTATTATACCCTGTGTATATACGTGTGTACATAGTGCAGCTGAGTATGAAAATCTTTGGCTTTCTTTAAGATGATAAAAAAGAAGCTTTTCGTTAATAAGTATATTTTTTAATATATTTGTGATATGATTATTCACTATTTATTATTTGATTAATCTGTTGCTTTCCACTTTTACATGAGTAGAATTGTTGCGGCTGTTGGTCAGTGCCTAACGCTCCTAAGCCTATAGGCCCTTTGTGAGATTCCTATAATTACATATTCTCAAATGCTTACTAGTTTTTGCTGAAGCTAGCTCAGCGAGATAGTCATAAAAGTGTTTCCCGAAGCATGTATCGTGTCGCGAAATTATACAGGTTGGACCAGTGTCAGGAGTAGTGTTGATTAGGCTCCTCCTCTAATTCGTCACTAGAGCTTGGGCAAAAACATTCGAGTGTTAAACCATTCTTTTCTCCTGAAACCACATTAAAGAGCGAGTTATAACAACTGTAGTTATTCTGCTGCAGAACCGATTGAGAAAAATCAGATGCTTGATTTTTTTCGGCCCAATTCTAGTCATATCTGCCCATTTTAGTCATATTCAATTGAATGAGACATTTATGCTCTGCAGTGCATATTTCTTATATATATTTTTTAATAATTATTCGCTCTTCAAGCTCTATCAAGATTGAAAGCATTAATATTCGTCTAGACTGACTGAGCGTCTAAGAAAATTTAGTTGATATGGATATAATGCCTCTCTTGATCCTGTTGAGAATTACAGATAATAAAATAGACATATGAATTGGTTTTCGGATGGCATATGATAATGTATTTGTATTAAAATTGACTAAGGAAAAAGAAAAGCTGGAAGATTTTTAAAGTTAAATGTTGCCTTTTTTCAATAATCTTTATTTTATTACATGATTTTTCACTCAAACCAGCTCAGAGCTATTAAATATTGTATTTGCTTCCTTTTTTATAGTGAAACACTCCTTTTAAAAACACATCACATTCATCAATTAAATGCGTTTAGTTTTTTTATGTTTTTGTTTGCTACTAAAAGAGCAGTGACAGAACCTGGTTGAGAGTTCAAAAAGAAAAAGAAAATTCAAAAATCACTTTAAAAAATAAAGAAATAATGAAATTATCATTCTCTGCGCATTTTTTGCTTATTTATTAAATAAATGTCATATTTACATACGTTTTGTATTAAATCGCAATTTGTTTGCATTGTCTGCAACAACAAAAGCAAACAACAGCAGCTAAAGTACAAGTAGCCGCCATCATGTGCTGCTGTATTTTGTCATCGTTATTTTAAATTGAATATGTAAATATGTACGATATTTTCAAGTTTTTGTTGCTATTTTTAATACAATAAATTTCGCATATTTACTAGTTGTTTTTCGTGCTTTCGTTGCTGAATTGCTTGCTTTCCTTTTAAATAAATTTTGTTTTTTTTTTATTTAAAATTTTATTTAATGAATTTTTGCTATTTCATGCTTTTAGTTATGAATATGCATACCAAGCAAGTCGTTGTTGTTTTTTGTTGATGCATTTAATTTTATGTATCTGCATTTTCGTGTTGTTGTTTTATTGCTGCTGTGTCTGCGTTTCATTGAACTTGATCTTAAATTCGCAAGCGCACGCGTTTTTACGCTGACATAGCCGTTGGTTTGCTGCCTCATCGCCACTTACATTATATACATATGCACGAGTACATACTTTTCTTTTACCAGTTGTCTCATACGCGCTACGCATACTAAATTGATTGATGCCACATAAAAAATTACTGTGTATATTGTTTTTTTTTAATGTATTTAGAGTCATTCTCCATAGCGTGGCAATATACTGACGCACATACATATAATATGTATATTGATATTTATTGTTGATAATTGTCTTATGATGGGTAGGCTAATGACGCGCTTAAATCAATATTCTAGCCACGTTTGCTGGCCAACACGATCATAACATCCCCACTCAATCAGCCAATTTTCATACGCTGGCGGGAGGCGCACATCTTCCGTTCCTAGGCAGCTGTTAGTGCGCTTGTTTTCGCACTTCGTTCAAACATAGTTGCAAGCATTGTTTAGCGATTTCCTTTAATGGTAAAGATTGTTTTTAGCAATACTAAATAGCTTGTAAATACTCGCGTTGTTAAATGTGAACTTTGGAATTCTGTTAATATTTTTTCTTTTTTTTTCATAAGTAAGAACGTATTCAGTAGCAGTAACTAATCAGTTTCATTGTCACGTTTTTCGAGGTAGTTGTAAGAAATATTTGTGGTTGTTTCTTAAAATAGACTGGACAATGCTCGCTGTTTAATATTTATATATTTAATATTTTTATTGGAATCTGAAAAAGTCAGTATAAATATTGAAAGATATTGAAAACGTAATAAGAAGATATATAGGTACATATATATCTAAAGAAATTAAAAATTTAATTCCAAAAATTTACCTGAAAAAAATGGGAAAAAAGTTAATATCATCTTAGAAAATAAAATATTGAAATACTATTAATAAAGAAATTAATAAAAAAATATACAAATAATAAAATTAAAAATACTAAAATAAAAACTAATAAAACAAAAAATAATACAATGGTGATAATAAAATCATAAAATAAATATAAAAAAAAAAAACAAAAAAAAAAAATAAAAAATCAACAAAAATAAAAAATAAATAAAAAATTAAAAATAAACAAAAAATTAATAATAAAAAAATTTAAAAACATAAATAAATAATAAGTAAAACAAAAAATAATAAAAAAACAAAATAAACAAATTAAAAAAAAAAACATCAAAAAAATAAAAATGATAAAATAAAATATAAGATATTTAAATAAAATAAAATGAGAAATAAACAAATTTTATAATAAAATAAAGAAAATGAAATAATAAAATCAATGTTATGTGCCACTTGCAGGTCACTAAAAAACTCTCTTCTAGGTAATAGTCGCACACCCTAGAGTGGCTCTCGCATTACTTCAATATGGCCCCGCATTTTCGCACGTGGTACTTATTCTGCGAACTCCTTTACAATTACCCAGTTTGCTTCGCTTTGTAGTATAATTGAGACAATATTATCTACTCTTATTCGCCAACTGTGTTTTCAAGTCTGATTTTCGTGTCCTGCCAGCGTGTACATTGAAAGATTGTACGCCGAGCATACATCTTCGCTAGCATCGTTATATTAGATACATGACGGACCTTCAGCTTTGCCTATTTNAACTTTGTGTTTACATGGCGCTCTCATAAGATAGGTTACTATGGACGGCTGGTACGCTCGTTGGGTAGTTGCAGCCTAAGGGTTGCCGCTATCATAACTTTTTTTCTTGTGTTGAACCTGCTATGTGAGCCCTTAGTCTATTAAGCTAAGAAGTGACTTTGGAGGCTTTAACTGCGGTATGTTGGATTTGTACTCAGTAGCTCAGTCTAGGGTTTAGGGTCAGATAGTTAACAACTCTTCCTGGCCTCAGCGTATCAGCGATTGTGTGCATGTCTATTTCCAGAGACTAGGGAATTTCATTAAAACAAAGTAAAGACGAATATAAATTAAAAGAAATTGAAAAACTAAATTTAAAAAACATGAAATAAAATTAATACAAAATTTCAAAACTTGTTTTTATGTTCTATTTTTTTTTTAATATTGCTGTGATATCTTCAAAATACCATCATTATTTCTAGATTTTATTTATTGCAAAGAGCTAATTGTGCTAATCTCAAATTTACATTGCACACATATCTGCATATACTTACGATTTCCATATCTGTTCTGCGTAATGAAATATTAGTTGCCGTACATGGCGTATGATCAACATTTTTTGACACGCTGTCATATTAAAGCGAAAGACCATAGAAAATAGGTTAGAAAATATGAATATTTATACATGTTGTGACATAATTCATGGTGACAAAATACAAAAAGAAAGAGAAAAAATACAATAACAAAAAATGTTATCGAAACAATTTCTAATGTTAAGAAAAAATATATTAATTTAAATTGAAATGCTAAATGTGGTGCGACACATTAAGAGTGATTGAATAATGAGTGTATTGAAGAGGAATGTCTGTATGCCGGGTGTTGTTGCTCATATGATTACAATGGATTTTGTTGGTATCTAAGACTGTAAGCATATGCATATATATAAGCGACGCGCCTGCTTAACTTCGCTAACAATGCGCTGCTTTGGGATATGACGCGATCATCAAAGGAGCTAACCGCAGCTGCAAATTTTCGTTGTTGTTATTTACTAATAACCCGCGCACGCGTGTGATTTGTACAACAAAAAGAAAAAAATGCGCAACTATTCAAAGTAAATTAACCAATTTGTACACGAGTTCAAAGTATGTGTGTGTATATACTATGTAGAAATGTGTGTTTACCGTATAGTTACATA